TGTGTGTGTGTGTGTGTGTGTGTGTGTGACGGAGAATAGTGAAGATCTGCCCTCGGTAAGTCGGCGTTTCAGACTATGCGACCTCGTTCTGCCCACATTGAAGTGGAAAGAGTGTGCCTGTGTTTGTTGCCACTGCGGTTCACTGGGCTGTGCAACCAAAAGAGTCTCCGCGTTACTGACGCTTGTAGTCCAGTCTTAGCCCAGATCTTATCAGCATCCCCGCCGGGGTTCAGACCAAGGATGGGCGGGTAAAAGCCACGAGTGAGCGAGCACAGACACAGAAGACCCAAATGTATGTTCTGAACTGCTGTCCAACTTGGAGATGAGAACTCCAACAAGGTGGGTCGAAGTTGTGCATTCTTGTGGTGACTTTGATTTGCTGTCAAAGTGTTGGATGGAGACATTAGAAGATGAATCTCATCGGAGAACAACGACTAATTCCAGACGTTTGATGCTAACTCTAGCGCAGCCCACAAGGCATCTGTATTCAGTCTGGACGAAAAGAAATGCTATTTCCGTGCACTATATGAAAAGCATCGTCAGGGCTTGATCTCATTCTTACAAAGTACCAAATTAGCACTAAACCAAGAAGACTCATTATCACATGCGAAATATACTTACAACTAAAAAGGTTAGCTTACTTTCGATTAATATAATTAATATTAAAAGTTGTTTTAACTCGTTAATATTGTCAAGACATATCTTCTCAACAGTCTTCTGTCATAGTAGTTATGGTAATTTCCAAAGTCGGACCGTGGACATGACACTTTCCCAGGCGTTTCACTGGCATCTCCTTGCCAGTCATGTGGCAACAAACTACCAATAGTCAAGTAGGTAAGTGAAGTCCATCCTTTGGCCAACATTTTTCTGAACAGTCGTGATATTTATGCTATTAGCACAACCTCTAACTTGCCTATTTTGACCTAACCCAAGCGTGAGACCTATTCCAACTTTCCGAGGGTTTCTTCTTTCTCCACTTCCCCAGTGTGCTGGAAATGCTGATTTAACTTGGCTTGGCGCTGAGAATGGCAACGCTCACCGGCGATTGCGACAAAACGTCTTGGAATGTAGCAAGTCTAAGGTCCGACGCTGGAACTTCCCATGACCACTGTGGCAAAGGACTCCGGGCAGGCTACTACCAAAGGAAGTTGCCAAAACGAGGCTAAACAAGTGTTATACAGCGAGAGGAGGTAACGACTAAAATAGAGTAGACACTATCTTTATATTCATACCTTTGATACTATTATGCATGTGTGTAGAATTATGTGCACTCGTGTAAGTCAGGGTGGGAAACCAGGTACTTACTTGCACATATGCACACCCACCCACCTACCTACACATATATTTTTAAATATTAGAGTACATTTTTGGGTTGGTTTCCCCATTATGTAATCTAATATTTAAAAATATATATGTGTAGATTGACTTACCCACACATACACATATATATACTAATAAAAAGAAGTTAAAGGTTAGTGAACTGCATCAAACTGAACATCCTTCTAAAACTAAAATACTGCGAGGAGCGGAAAGCAGCGGTCTTCTTCTGGTGAGATCAACCCT